GTGGGTGGCGAAAGGGAGGGAAAAAATTGGAATGTCTGTAGACTGGAATAGGGCCGGCAGTTCATACGGCTATCTAAATTATTTTCGGTACAGCTAGAGTATATTTTTAGACTGTGGACCAAGTTTGATGACCACTAGGAAAAGGCAGGCGGCGGGGCGGGGAGGGGGTGGGGGCAAACGGAAGCCCCTGCTAGCCTCCTCTACATGCGCTGGATAATGAGTAACAACAATAACAACAGTATAAAACGTAGGTTTTCTTGTTTGGTTTTTTTTCTTTGAAGGCCTCAAAAAAGGGGAAAAACATTTACAGAGAGAGATAGAAAAGACCCAACCGGAAGCAGGGTGCAGGGATGGGGGGCGGGAGCTAAATTCTCTTGAGAGCACTCGGTTCCAAAGTGTGTTTAAAGGGAACCAAGCAGAAAATCCAGTCGGTAGGATAGATTGGCAGTCGAGGTGGGGGATTGGTGATGACAAAGCGCCGGTAATGTTCATTTGATGCATACTTAATCGGAACCCGGTCTTTCAGTTTGTGCCCACACAGCAGCCTATAGATGCCAATTATGAGAATACCGTAATTGCGTAGGGTGTGCAGAAATAGCTGCTCATAAACGGATCCCTCGGTGGTGAATCGGCTGAATGCCGATCCAGTGAGGGCTAGTTGAGCCACCCGACACCGGTCCCTACAGCCGAGACTATTGAGGCTGGAATTTCCGCCACGCATACCCATACCGTCGGAGAGCATTTTTTCCAGATAGGGCGTTGAGCCACCGGTGACCAGGGACCGAATCAGTGTCAGAGCGCTTTCGTTAAAGTAGGCTGTGCTCATCAGCGAGTCAAGTACGCTGATGGTAAAGGCGGTGCCACAGGCGAAGGGCTGTGTCATAAACAGCTCACCTGACTCATCATCTTCATCCTCCTGATCCAGAAATTGGACATTCATGTCGAAGGAGAGCTCGGTTGCCATGGGGATGGTGTGTCCGGTGGCGGAAACAAAGCGCGGTGGTCGACTGAAGATGACTTGTGACTCAGTCTCGGCCGGGCCAACACTGACCGAGCCAGATTTCTGAAATAGATTCGGAATTATGCTACGATTACGCTGGAGGCTGGCAAAATCCACTGGTCTTGTCTGACTGGCCAAACCGGTCGAGACTGTAGATCCACCACCAGTACTACCGCCGCCGCTTGTGATGTTCGGTCCTGGCGTAGTATCTGCCCACCTTACCTCGAGGGGAGCCTGTCGGCATTGGTTAGATTCTTCTGAACAGTAGGCATCGCTAAAGTCCATTGCCTTTACGTTAAGGGAACAGAGGATAGCCTCTTTATCCACCAGTGTGAGATCTTCTTTTGTACTGTCGCTCTTCGAGGACAAAATTACGCACATGGATGCGAAGTTTATTTTTACAGCTCGCAGATTAGCGCGACAAAGTGGACTCCCCGGCAACACCCAGATGTTGGGAAAGTTGGAAAGTGCCTTCCACTCCCGTTTGATATAGTCCAGGTTTCCCAGTAGGACCACTGTCTTCACTTCGTTTGAGTGGAGATTGCTGGCGCGTAGGGGCATAA